ACGGTGGCAATGAATGAAAGCAGTCAGTCCCACCGCACTGCACCTTCTCTTAGTGCACAGGTCGCTCTGAGCAGCCATCGGTGGAGGCTTTGCGACACAATTATTTTCTGTATATTTCAGCATCCGCTGAAATTTCAGCAATCGAATCCGTATCCTTAGCGATTCTCCAATCCCAACCTGCTTTAACTCGGCAGAATCGATCAGAACCCTAAACAAACGCACCGCTTAAAAAAAAAAAAACAACTGCACTGCGCTTGACCAAGACAACGCAGTACCGTCCACTGCAATGACCAAAACGGGAAACCAGAACCGCTCACCAAAAAAAAAAAAGCAAATAAAAAAAAAGCTCACACAGAGCAGCAGCAGGGCGGTACCGCGGCCTCGGCCCCACCGCGGGGCCAGCGGGAAGGGGGGAGCGAGCCAGCCGCTCCCCGTCGCGCTGCCGGTGCTGCCCAAGGGCTGTGGGCTGCGCAGCGCGCCGTGCCAGGCGCAGCGCCCTCCAGCCGCGTTCCGCAGGGGCAGAAGGCGAGAGGCTGAGCGGCGCGGGTGCCGCCGTGGCAGGGTTTCCCCCCCACTCCGCCGCTCCCGCGCTCTCCTCCCCGAAGGAACCGTTATCCGCCGCCCCCACCTCCCCCCCCCCCCCCCACCCGACATGGCGCCCGAGCTCAGGGCAGTTTGAATTTTGAATCCGCACCAACGCCCCAGGGCGGGAAAGGGACCCGAGCGGGACTCGCCCGACGCCACTTCCTCCTACGCGCAGGTCGCCTCCGAGGGACCCTCTGCCCCTGCCCGCCCCGCCGCGCTCTGCCCGCGGCCAGAGGACCCCTCACCTCGCCCCACCCCGTCCCGCCGCCCGCACGGCGCCTCGCCCCGCAGCCCCCCGCCTCCCTCCCTTATCCCGCAGGCGCCTCCACCACCCGGCCCTCCGCCCGCACGGCCCCGGCGCGGCCCCGCGGACTCACCATGGTGTCTCGTCCCGGCTGCGGGGTGCGGTGAGAGCTAACGGCTGCACGAGGCGCACCAGCGACCTACCCGCTCGACGGCTCGCCTCACACTGAGCCCTGCCCGGCCGCCAGCCGTGCCTCATAAACCGCCTCACAGCCCGCGCGGATCGCTCCGCGCCGCTCCCTCCCCCCACCCCTCTCCCGGTCAGGGAACGGCGCTGCGAAACGAGTCCCGGCTCCCCGCGCTCTGCCCGCCGGGCCCTCCCGCGCCCCCGCCTCGCCCTGTTTCTGCCCCGGGACCCCCGGGACCCGGCGCCGGGAGGCAGGGGGAGAAGCGAAAAGGGTCGGACGCTCGTCGAACGCCGGCGGTGGGCGGCGGAGGGGCGACCCGCGGGACTATTTGTCCGAGCGGAGGAGGATTCTAGAAAAAACGTCGCTGCGTAGCTGGGACTCCGAGCGGAGGGCGCCGATTGGTGGATTCGTACCTGCAATGCGTCACTGGGACATGCACAGTCTGGGCTGGAGCGGCCCCCTCCCCCAGCCCGCCCGCAGTGCGCGGAGCCCGGCCCGGTGCGGCGGATTCGGCCTTAGGCCGGGCTGCGCCGCCGCCCGCCCCGCCGCCTGCCCTAAGGGGGCCCGGCCCGGTCCGGTCGGGTCCGGTCCGGCACCGCACGGCTCTGCGGCAGGGCGTGCCGGGCAGCGCTGCGGCGGGCAGTCGGACTGTGCCACGGGCCCATCGGCGGCGCCCGCCGCTGGCGGTGGTGCTGGGCGTCGCGGCTCCCCGAGGGCTGCAGGGCGGCCTCTCGAGCTGACACCCCGCCGACACGCGTTGGTTGAAGGCGGCCGGATTGTCCAGCTTACGGATGGGTGTTCATATGGCTGTGGTAGTGTAAGGCAACAGATAGCCGTTGATTTTTCAGTATGAGCAAGGCTGCCCGGTGTCTGAGAATCACAGCTTCAGGGCCGTGAACGTGCTGTGAAACCTGGAGCCCGAGTGTGGGTGTTCTGACCCTAGTTGGAAAACAAATCTTCCTTCACCACTCAATAAAAGTAATCTGCTTCCATTCTGCATCCGTTGCAAAGATGGTTGGGTTGGCGCCGGCACAGTGCCCACCAACAAGCCTATCTACCCATCACTGTCCCACGCACGGGGCAGCAGGCTCTGCTCAGTGCAGGGAGGGATGCTTCGCCCAGCCCTGCTCTCACAGCTCCTCTGGCTCGGGGCCATGGGAACGTGGTGGGGGTTGTGGGCCCTCGGCAAAAGCTCTGAGTTCTTCCCTCCAATCCTTAACTGAAATTCCTGGGCTTGCTGTCTTCATGGAGCTGGTGTCTGCTGAATTTGGAACTGAAGGGGAGCATCAGCACAAAGCCTTGTTCCCAAGAGTGCACAGACCTTCTACAAGCCCAGGGCCTCTCGCCCTTCGCTCCCTGCCTGCGTTGTTACTGTGAACATAGAAAACACCATGATATGCTTAAATTCAGCTTCCTGCCTTGAAACCCAAAGTTGTGCTGCATTAGCTTTTTAGGCCTTCTTTCAACCTAATGCATTCATCATCCAAAAATCAAGCACACTGAAGCTGCTGTCCTTTCAAACCCTGGCAATGTTGTAAAACGTGTAAATACTTCTAGATGAAGAAAAGTTTCCAGAGAAAGCAGCGAGCATCCCAACCATCGCCATGTGTGCTTCCCCACGCCTCTGTGGTGTGGAGCAGCAAGCCCTCACCTGCAGCTCCATGCCAACAAGCGAGGAGCAATGCAGCACTGCTCCCCATGTCACTCTGGTACACCACCTAGGAGTGACATGGCCTCTGTGGAGCTGCTAGCACAGGTCCTGGGAAGGCAGCAGCTCCATCTGCACGGTGCCACGCCATGCAGATTGAGCCCTGTGCTGGCACGTGGTTTTGACATTGTGGCACTGGAGCCGCAACGATGCTTGTGTGCTCCGTATGGGCCACCTGACGGCTCTTTACACACTGATCTGCACAGCATCTCAAGTGGGACAAGACATCACACACTGCCCTCACAGGCGGGTTACGCCTCTAGTTCAAAGAACCACCTGAAATGAGGCGTACGGACATTTCCATGCATTGGCCCCAGGGGCTTGCCCAGAGGGCCGTGGCAGTGCTGTCTGAGGCATCGCATCCTGCCCCTGTCCTGCTCCTGGCATCTGCTGCTGGCCTCTTGGGAGCACTGAGGCTATGGGAAACACAGGGCCCAGGGCTTAAACAAAATGTAGGCTCTGTAATTACAGCCTGAGGGTCTGTGGTGCAGTCGGGACTTGAACACGAGTCCCTTGGAACCCAGCCACTGTAGCGCTTTTTTTCTGTATGTGTCCTTTTAAACTACTGGGTATCTGTACTGTATTCAATTATTCATACCATTCAGTTTCCTTTAAAGGCTGAGGAAGTCATGAAGATAATCCTCTTTCTGCCGTATGTTTCCCGTGCCCTCTGCTTCTCTCCTCTATTCCTCTCCCCTTTCCCTGTTCTCATGTGTCTCCTGCTTTCCATCTGCATTTCCCTCAGCAGCACCCATTTCCTGTGGGTTTCATCACCACCCCCACCTCGACTCCATCTGTTGCAGAGATCAGCAGTGAAGTTAACTCGCGATTACACTCGCAGGGAATCTCGCCAACAGATAGTGTGGCACTGCCAGGTATTAAAGCGAACGCTGTGATGCCAGGAGGAGCACAGAGGAGAGGTCACTCCTCTCCCGTACAGCCACTGCAGACAGGTGAAGCTGCAGCTTCCCATCTCCTGGAACAGGTGCCTTTGCTCGCAGCCAAGCTGCTGAGAGCTGCTATGCAGCAGCCAGGCTGGCAGCCCGTGGGTCCGTGCTGTGGGAGGCTGGCAATGCAGCAGTGGGCTGGGTGCTGACGGAGCAGCCCCGGGAGCTGCCTATCATTGCCCTGTCACAACAGCCCGGTGACTGGGACTTGTTAATGTGATAGTTTCTCTCCCTGGTATGTAATATAATAGATTTGTCAATGTTTGTGTGCTTTGGGTTGTGGGTTTTGTTGTTGTTTCTTTTTTTTCCATGTAGAAATATAGCCTTATGTAAGCCTGGTTCCAGGACTGGAGCAACAAATTTGGAAAGCAGTTTGAGGTAGGAGGTTAGGTGAGCTGCATATGCCAGCAATGCACACAGCTACTTTATGTGGTATATTTAATATTGTGTAAATTTGATTTATCCCCTAGTTCTAACAATGCTTTAATGGACTGTGGGTTGATGTATACAGAGCACTGTGCAGTGATATAAAATGCCAGGCCTGTCTCCTAAAGTTTTGCTATGTCATTTCTATGTAGATCATAGTAATAAGTTGAACAACCTAATTAGAAATTAACTGCAAACTTTATAAGTGAACTTCTCAAATAAGAAGGAAAAGTTCTCCACTTAAAATTGGGACTTAAGCTAAGCATTTAACTGCACATAGAAAGAAAATAGCTTATGGCTCATTTTGTGCAGTGGTTCTAATTTCATTTCAGGTTTGTCTATAACAGAGAACCTGCCACCCTAAGAAAGGGCTTCAGCTCCAGTCCCAACTTTAAATCACAGAGCCAGTGCCGCGGGGATGAAACTGAGGAGCAAACCAATATTTAGCTGTCCAGATGTACGTGGAGGGCCGGTTCAGCCTTCAGCAAGGGAAAACTTCAGTGCTGTGTCCAAAATTTCAAGGTGCTGAATGAGAAGTTCATCTTCCTGGCACCCTGACAGCAAATATTGATCGAATAAACCCGAGTGCAGAGAATTTGCAGGAACTAGGCGGCTGCTCATCCAGCTAACCACACCTCACCTGAATGGTAGCAGCTGTTAGGAAAAAATATTGGTCTGTTGACCATGTTAAATGGATGACACCGCCTCTAATAAAAATATATTATAGAGAAACAGGGCAGGGGATGCCTCCCGACACCTGTCTTTAATCTCTGGATGCTCTGAATCCCCAGGATAAGGTAATACATGAAATGCATTCAGAATATGATGTTGAATAGTTTTTTCAATAATGAAGGTAATACTGATATATCCAAATTAGTGATTAAGCGACTTGGGTACAGACAGCAAAGCAGCTCTAGCAGTGATGAATCATCAGAGCCCCTCAGAAAGCTATTCAATTCTGTGGTTAGCAGATACAGAGCTCCTCTGCTGGGATTACATGGCTCCCCAACTAGAGGCTGGATGTTGTAAAGCTTATTTAGATGACCTAGAGCTTTACTGGAGACTTTAACTGGACTGTAACCAAGCACCAAAACAAAACAAGACAGGGGAGTCCAAAAATGTAGGTGAGTGCACTCAGACAAAACTGAGGAATGGAGGAGGATGATGTGAGATCTAGTTATAGGCTATAGGCTGGGAGTATGAGTAGAGAGCTGGTGGGACTCACAATCTCCCGTCCCCTCTCCTCCCCTCCTTCCTTTCTTTCTTTCTTTAAAAACAAACAATGAACCAAACAGCTGCTTCAATTTTATGTGGCCTTCTATGAAACATTGCCCATAAGCCTATAGTATTTTTAAGACTCCTATGAAGGAAACATAGCTGTAGGTCTTCATTACACTTTATACTTCCGGAGCAGTCTCTCCTTGGAGATGCAGAATGTGGGAGGGTAGCCTGTGCAGGAGCAGCAGACGCTCCCCTTTCCAGCCTATGTTCTTGAAATACAAGAATTGATGGCCCATAACACTCAATTATGAATTAGATTTTGCTTTTTCTATTTTGTTTTCTGAAATACCTCAATAGGAAGGAAAGCATAAAAAATGTGTTTGCTCCAAGATGACAGAAACGTGCTAATCAGTAATCAAACAGTTATTACCTACTGGACAGTTCTGTTTTTCAGAGACTGAAGACAGTAACAAGAGGTAGCATTAAATCCAGAAAATGACTGGGTGCATTCCGATTTCTCCAGTTTCTGCAAAGGCTTATTTTGATTTCCTTCAAAGAGATCTGAGAGAGAGACTGTATGAGTGACCTGCACTTCCAGGTGCAGGTGTAGGCCAGAAGGCTTCATTGAAGGGAAGTCCTGCATGGCCACCCAGTATGCCATCACACTTGGGTTGCATGCAGCATATCTGCAGGCATCGGGTCAAACCTTCATCTCCTGTGGAGACTCTTTGCCTTCATGAACACAATGGGCAGAATACCCATGAACGTTCAGTGGCTGGAATTTTGCCATTTTCAGTGGGAAAACACATACAAATTAGACTGCTTCACTAATCAGACTGTGCCACTGCTGAAGATTCATTTCTGTTTGCCTATAGCTAATCTGCCTAATATGAAGTGAAGAAAGGGTATAATGGAGATATCAGTCTTGACAAAACACATCCGAGCAGGTGGTGCTCAAGTCACTGCTTAAACTTCCCTGGGTGTGGGGGCAGGCCTAGGAAGACAGCAGTCAGGGAAGAATTTAGTGGTTGTCCGTTCCGATGGGAAGGCAGAAAAAAAGAAATGCTTTTCCAGGTCTGATGACAGCTAGCTTTGGTTGCTTTCTACTTAGGAGGCTTTCATTGTAACATTTTTTTCTTTATTAGCAAACCAAAATAACAGAATAATAGCTAACTCCTATTAAAAAATTACCAGGGGAGACAAAGCAGTGCTTATAATAAAATTACTGCTACAACCTTAATTAGGGCATGCTGCCAAATACCTCTGTGATGAAAAACAAATCAATATAATGATGTTTTCCCATTACCTTTTGTTTGGGGAATGAAATGTCACAAAATATTTTGCATATTTCGTCTTGGAGACCAGGCTGTATTGGACCAAATTAGAGGAGAACATTAAAGGATTTTGTTTAAAATTGGTATAGGCAGACAGACAATTCCTGGAACCAAAGGTTGAAAACATTTTTGCTTTCTAATGAGAGCAGAGGATGCAGCACTGGTACTTACTGACTATAAAAGTTTCAAATATAGCATAGAATCTGACTGGACTAAACATGGTATATCTGCTTCCCTTTTTCGCCCACCTAGACGTTGTTTCAACTAACCTGAACCTGCTCTGGCAATTCACGCCATGCTGTAAGGTCCTGCCCTTCTCAGGTGACTTCTCCCCACGTACCTGCCATGCAGATGCTCACTGCTGCTGGAGCTCCTGGCCGGACATGCTGCCTCTCAACAGGGCATATCCCCAGCACCTGATTCAGTTTTTCCCTTATCTGCCATCATGCATGCTTTCACAGGAGGTTGTCCATGTAAGAGCTGTCTAAACAATGAGCAAATGAGAATTTGGCTGTCTTTTATAAATAATGATTAAAAGGTTCGATTTAGATACAGATGAGCCCAAGCCACAAAAACTGCAGCTGGTTCCCAACAGCATCAACTTGCTTTTTTCTTTCCCTATTGCGTTTTATTTCAGCCAGAGCCTGGCCTGAAAGTCCATGTGGAAAGACAAACTAACTGTGAACCAGACGCAGACATCAGTGCCCAGGGTGCAGCACGTACCAAGATAGCCCACAACCACCTGCCAGCTTGCCACTGACCTTTTATCTGCATAAATAGTTGTGACCTTTGGGCTGCTCAAATTAGTGCTAGCTGCTCACCCAGGCCAGCATCGTGGCCCCATCGTGCACAGGCCTTCCGCTACTTTGACTCTGTTGCCTTTGCTTGGTGAGCTAACAGGCAGGGGCACTGGGCTCATGGCCTCTGTAGGCTGCAAACATTAACTGAAGCCTTCATCCACCACTGAAGGTCACAAAAACCAAGGGAGGGGTCCTGCCACCCGTGGTTGTGTTGTCACTTCTTGTAGGGCATGGCGAGCCTCCAGCTGCACTCTTGCTTGGGGCATTAGTTCAGCATGTCCTTCAGGAGAAGTCCTGAAGGAGTTTTAAAACCAACAAAAAGAAGTCATTACCAAAATGGCTACTCTTTCAGTAAACCTCAAAATGGGTTATTTTGGTTAATACAGAAGTAGTTCATTACATCACAGATGCTTCTTTCCAATAAAGTCTGTTTTATTCAGTGGATTGTTAAGTTGTGTAGGGTTTAATGCACATTATTTTCTCAGTAGATGGAAACTAGCATGCTCTCTCATGTAAATAAGCATTTAGTTCTAGTTCCAAATGCAGCATTTCTAATCCTGAAACCACAGCAGCTTTTTTTTTTTTTAATATATATATTTATGTATGTATTTGCACGGTTTTACAAGCATGTTCTTTCAGATAGCTGACGATATTGACTAGGTCTGAAAAAAGAAGAGTCGGATACTTTAAAGACATAAAGCAGAAAAAAAATTTAAAAATCCTAGGTTCTTTAAATTGAAGACTGCATAGACATATTCCAGAGAGACTTTACTATGTGTAAAATTTGCTCCAAAGCTCCTATCTTCTGCTTAACTTTAACTAGAGCTTTTTTCTTTTTTTTTTTTCTCTGCTCTAGTCATGGGATAGTGGATTCCAAGAGCATTTTTCCACCTGATGTCCCTTGTGTGCACAATGCTTTAAAAATTCAATTGACTCCTTTCAACACGAGAGACTGGAGACTTGTTAAGTTGCACCAAGGCGAACTATCAGGCACAGAATGAGAAGGTGCTGTTTACAACCACAGCCCTTGCTGCCTGCTTTTACCTATGACAGCTGTGGACAGGAATAGGAAACCCCACAAGGTTGGGAGGTCAACTTGTTTGACTTGGCTAGCGTCCCCGGACTAGCACAAGTCATAGAATGGCTTGGGTTGGAAAGAATCTTAAAGCTTATCCAGTTCCAACCCCCTGCCGTGGACAGGGCTGCTCCCCACCAGCTTGGGCTGCTCAGGGCCCCGTCCAACCTGGCCTTGACACTTCCAGGGATGGGGCATCCACAGCTTCTCTGGGCTGCCCAAAGCTCAGATGTACAATTGCTTGCAGAAAGTGAATCCCAGCCATAGTTTTTAGCTCCTTCTTTTATCTTTTACAGCAGCTCCAAAAGTGCATTCATTTGAAACTTCTTCTAAAAGCAATTTGGTTTGCTTTCACTTGTTCCACGTTTCAGCTACCTGGCCTTCCCTATCTGTGGCTGCACCGGCAGCAATGCTAGCCTGAGCCACTCACAGGTAAATAAGAAGTCAACACGCATGTTTGCAAAGCATGTTTAACTTGCGTCTTTCATCTGTGATTAATATTAAATCTATTGAGCTACATAAATAAGTAATTCACTTACAGACCTGTCAAACCAATAGTGATTTCTTCCCCTCTGAAGCTCTAAGCTATTCGTTCTAATTGTTTAATTTCCTTTTGTGTACCTGGAGATAAAAACAGCCTGCTAGGCCACTTCCACTTGGAGAGAAGGGAGGGCTGCCCAGTCTCTTCTGCCTCCATCCCACTGCCTACAAGGTCTGCAAATATCCTTAAAAACCTTGAGTCATTTTGCACATCATTTCTGTGGTGGTAGTTTGTGCATGGAAAGTGGACTCCTGCTCGGCCTTCTGGCTTGGATCACAGCCCTGCAAAATCATCTCCACCAAGAGACTATGGATCTGTTTCTGTTCTCCTGCAAATGAAATTAGGAAAATCATATAAACATAAAACCACGGGGCAAATGAGAGGAAACTCTTGTTTTCTCTTTTGTGTTGATATGGAGTTGTGCTCCTTGAACACTAATAAGGCAGTGCTCTTGTGGAAGATTGAGAGCATGTATTCAGACCCCTGGCCTCCCAGCGACTGTGCTTAGCACTCAGCTTCTTTACAGGTAGTTTACAGGTTGCTTATAGAGAAGAGTATGAAGTTTGTTTGAGGGAAAATAATCCCCAGGTAGGGAAGTCCCTTCTAGCTAAAGAAAGCACAGGGAGTCGAGAGGAAACCTCATCCCCTCTCTAGTTCATCTAGGTGCCTGTATCAAAGCAGTAAGGGAGGATCTCAGCAGCAAGGGATCCTTTCCTAAACGCTGTTGTGTAGGACCTCTCTTTGGAAGCAGTGATGAGAGAGCACTGCCTCAAAACCCACCCCAGCACCATTTCAGGCTGGTGGAGGTGGTGGTACTGGGCTACAGCTCTCAATCTGTGGGAATTTTCCTCCTCCCAGCATTTGCTGCATATGTAAAGCCCTGCATAAGCCATTGTTGTCTCTGGGATCTGGGGGTGGAAAGAGGAATGGAAGAAATCTTGAAGCAGAATATATTTAGCTTCCTTCCCTTCCAGGATGCTTCTTCACACCTCACTGTTCAGCGCATCCAGCCCTGCACTGAGCAGGGGAAATGCAGCAAAACCAGCAGAGCTTTCTGCAGCAATGAAGGGGCTTTCAGTAAAGCAGCCTCAGTACTGAAAACATGAAAGGAACACCATGGTTATTTATCAAAGGACGTTTCAACACAATCCATGTAAGGGATGCTAAGTTCGTTCCTAACACTATTTAGCTATACTGAAAGAAAGGGAAAATGTTGCTTTGCAGAAATAAAAAATGGGATCAAGATTACTGGCAAAGGGCAGAAATGACATTTACTAAGCTGCCTTTTGCCTGTGATGTTTGTTCTTTACTGTTTTTCACTTAACAAGACTGCAGAAGGCATTGCTTGTCCTTAAAGAGTGCTACTGCATGCAGAGAGGAACCAGACGGTGGTTATCTGCTGTAACCGAAAAGCTGACATTTTGAAATGGTCATTATTCATTGCAACTGCTCAGATTGAAGCCATTTCACATGGAAACAATTAAGAGGCAGAATGCATATCATAACAAAGGAATGAGAAAGAAAGATCAGGAAATACAGGCCGATTGGATTAATCTCTTAAAATGAATACCATATTTACTGCTAGTGATGATAACAAATCTAAGACTTGTATTACCACCGGAGAGCAGACATGACTGAATTGCAGATTTTCTCATGCAACTTCAGAGGAAAAAAAATAACATTATTGATTAATTTATAATTTAGGTCCAGAATGGAAAAAACTGTATCTCATTTCATATGTGTGCGGGATGGAAGGCGCCTGAAAATAATGAATTCTAAAAGTGGTCACAACTGGAAATCACAGAGAAATGAAAACCAAATCGGAATTCAAAACAATATAGTCCATTTGTATTTCTGTAAAAGCAAGGGAAAAATGAAAATGTGCATGGAAGGGCATCCACAGGGATTTGCACATTCTTCTCGAGATCAGTCTAAGTGCAACTGGAAAGAAGAAAAAAGGATAAAGAACAAAATCCACTTCTAAAGAGGCGTGTTGTCTTACATGCAGGAGATATGGGGGCAGGGTTTCTTTACACTATCAGAGAATGAGCGAGGTAATTACTGGAAGGCATATATTGCAATAAAGATTTATGAAACACCATTTAGTACTTCTTTCTGGTTGAGTAATTAAACAAACAGAATATCAGCACTAAACGGTGTGAGACAGATGAGACACCATGAGCCATATACAGCCCAGAGCCAGGATGTCCATGTCCCTCAATCCTAAAACAGTCATCTGTGTTTGCAAGGAATTTTGGAAATCACTTAGAGAAGATACCAATACTGGATCTCTTAGTGGCATAAACATCACACCTCTCTGCTGTGTATACATTCACACACAATTTTGTTATGCCCCCCAAAATGAGTGACTTGTATAGTTAAGTGACAGCAAACTATCCTCCAATTCCTTCCCCCTGACCACTGTCTGGGAGACTAATTTTTATTGCCATTGAAATCAATTTGAGCTTTATGACTAACCTCACTGGAGCCAGGATGCAAGCAGCTAATGGTCTGCTGACAATAGCTGGGAACTGGTGCAAGTCAGAGCAGAAATATTTAATGCCTTGTGACTTTGCGAATATTTCATTTGCACTGTCAGCTTACCTGGCAAAGGGGATTTCAGGTGTGGAGGCATTAATTCCTCTTCAGATATCCAGTTTTCCCCCTTAAGTACAGAATCACAGCATGGCTGAGGTGGGAAGCGACCTCTGGCCCAACCCCTGCTCAAACAGCAAGCTGTCCCGTGTCCAAGAGCCACATCCAAGTGGCTTTTGAGCAACTTGAAGGAAGAAGACTCCACAGCCTCCCTGGGCAACCTGCGCTAGTGAAAAACAGTAAGTCCTAAGTGGAAGGCATCAAACATCTTCAGGAGGCTGAGCGTGCACTATACAAAATTAGCTAATACAGATGGAAGAGCAGAAAGGCTGAGGGCACATCTGAGCCTCTGCAGGGGCAGAGCAGACCCAATGTGTTACCTGCGCTATCTGCCTCCACCATCTTCATCCCTGCACCTCAACAACGAGGGATATTTCACAGTCACACTTCTTTGAAAGTAGGGGCTGGCGGGAAGAGCTGTGCTGCTAAGGCATGTGGTGTTTGCCCACACTGCTCCCCTCCTGCTGGGGCCTCAAGCTGTAATTATTCCAGGTTACCGTTGGACTTTCCAGTTGGAAACTCGTGCTGTTTCCATTCCTTTCCCATCTTTCAGAGGTGCTTTTGCCTAAAAAGTAGTCCATCTGCAGAAATCAGCATCTGCAGAAAGAGTCATCTTGGGTGCCATTCTAGAAAGGGCTCCATTTGACATAGTTTATACAGAAGATCCCTTTAAATAGTAAAACTTTCGCACATTTGTATTCAGAGCTGTTACGATTTTATTTTTGAAGGGAATGTAGGTGTTCGTGAGCAGTGGGTGGGAGACTGACAGCACTAGACCAGAGCTCGCCATTGCAGAACAACTGCTGCATAGCCTACTATACTGCAAACCTCTGTGATGTAGACACAAAGGTTTGAGATAGGCTGTCCTTCTCAAGCCTGTTACTGTCCCTGTGCCTGTTCTCTCCTTGTGCTCAAAGGGAATCAGCTGCTAAGATGGCCTGTGTGTGTGCACTTGCAGGAGCAGACACAAGATTACCAGGCCTTCCAGACAGTAATTACTTTTAAGCTTTAGCACTGCATTTGGATTTTGCACTCCAGTGCCAAAGAAGTAGCTTTCTGTGCAACGTCACACTCACTTAACCACACGCCTGGGTCTGTTTTTTCTTTATTTGTCAACTGTTTGTTCTTAAAAATGAACAGCTCAAACTCTGATGCAAGAGCTCTTACCAGCTTTCTGAGGGCTGGTACATACGCATGCTGGTCTCTTCAAGAAACCACCCTTGATATGCAGTTTTCCATAACTGAGGTAGCTTATGCCTCTCAGCATCATTTAATGGGGACTCTGCAAGGAATCACACTGATCCTTTCTCCCACTCCACCCCACTCAGAAACACAATGTGGAAAAAAACCCCAAACAACACAAACAACACCTCCAGGACAGAACCCCTCTGAACACTTAAAACCCTCTTTTAGTTCTTACCTGATTCCACACATGATAAGGTCAGTGGTGGTGCCAGCACAGTGTAGATACTTCCTCTTTCTTCAGCTGAGCTAGGTAAATTACTAAATTGAGTTCACACATTTTCCTCCAAGACTATAAAGAAATTTCCTTCATGCTATTTCTCTGGATCTTCCAGCTAATGTGCTTCAGATTTTGGTTCAAGTTATTCAGAAGAATTCTTTAGCCTATATTTTATTCCCTGGGTTCCTTTGAATAATTTAGGGTCAGACTACTGGCTGTAGTCGTGTACAGAGAACTCTGAGCTGCAAGCCCAAATACCAGAGCTAAGATGCTCCGAATTCTGACCTTGCAGAGAAATTCTGCCTCTGCACAAAATAACAGTCTCTTGCTGTGAGATCATCTAAGGCTTCTTGTTCATTCTCTAGATTTTATGGTAGGATCTTTTGTGATGAGTTGCAGCTCTGCCCTCCCTTCTTTCACGTTTTGAAGCACTTTTGCTGTAATCACTCCTCTGAAGCACCAATCTTTCCTTTGAGAATTTGGGTTAAAGTGACTGAAGGGAGTGACAACAAAGGAGTGATTGTCATCAGGTCCCAAGGATTTGATATGCTGTTGGTTATACAATGCATTTGGACAGCCCAAGTTGTGTGCCAGATTAATATTTGATGTCATTGGACTTGACTGGCTGTAAAGAAAGAAGCTGGAGACAGTGTTGGGAAAATGGCCATCTCCCTTTCACCGAGGAGCTGGTGCTCATGGAAGTTGACAGCCTGACAGCCCAATCTCCCATCCACCCATACACTCTAGCCGGCGCAAGCCGTGAGCTGTGGCAATGCAAGTTTTCCCATATTTAATCACTGGTAGGTGAAATTATGCTTGTCACCCCTATGTATCATGTTTATCTTACCAGAAACAGCTTTGCTTAGTGTGTATTTTATCATTATTTCCTAAGTCATTAAATTACACTTATAGTACTGATGTTTTATCTGTCCTTACTGCATATGTGTGGGACGCCTCTGTGTAGTCCATGAAGGTATGTGGTCACTTGATATGCTCAGAAATCGTACATTCACTCACATATGTCTTAAACAAGTAGAAGTAAATTTTGGGCTGTATCATTAGAGATGTCGTAAATGGTCAGGTTTTGTTTGTCTTCTGATCCTTTATCTTAACTTATCCAAAATACTGCTAGGCTAATGAGGCCCATGTGACAGTGGTACTTCATTTAAAAAGGGGGAAAAAAAAAAAAGTCTTGTGGCACACGGATATTAAAAAAATAAATCAAATAAAACTTGGCGTTGTAAATGGAAATCAATGGACTGCAAAATTGTATTTGTTCTAGCTGGATAGAGTACTTGCTGAGTTCCAAGCTGTCTGTCCCCTGCTGAGGAGAGGCAGGGTCTGCTCTATGTGTAGCGCAATTGCAAAGCTATTGTGTATAAACCTGCACCTCTCCATATTCAATGCAATTTATACCTTAAAAAAATAATAATTAATTTTACAACATCTCAGGAGACGCATATATTAGTTCTCTTTTACGGACAGCATGAAATGAGACTGGATATTTTGCCCAAAGCAAGTCCCTGTTAGGGTTGAAATTTTTGGCTCCTGGTCTTATCCTCGGGAAATTTGACTATGCCTGTCCTAAAATTCTTTCAGTATCTATGAACTGCAGACAGCATAATATCTGAATAATAATACTAGGTATAGTGTTGCTCTGTAATTCCACGTGACTTCTGGCTCACACTGACTTCTAGCTCATGTGGACATGTCACCAAGGACAGTGTTGCTTCTCAGCAGTGCTACACTCAACTTGGCTGCTTTTCTACAAGTCTGGTTCTTGATCTTTTGATAAATCCTAAGAAAACCATATATGACATGGAACTCTGCTAAACTGAAATAATGGAATATCACCACGTAGAATAAATAAAAATATTTCTATTATAAGCAGCTGATTACCGCTATGTCTAAAATATTTGGTTTTTGTCTTCTTCCCTATTCTGTAATTTTGATAACGATGACTATTCGTATTAGGCCTATAAACAACTAGTGTTTCTTGTATGTCCTCATTGACTTATGATGCATGTATTTACCATACAAAAGGTAACTTCTTCAAAGAATTGTTATTACATGAAACGGCATTGCTCCAAAACCATCCAATACACTTTTCCCAGGATTTCTATGTGTACAGTCTTGAGAACCCAAGTATTTCATTCTGCAAAGACTGGGTTTTGAAGTTTACCATCCTGAGGAAGGAAAGCCAACCAAACATACTTTGAGGGCCTAAAGAAGACTTTTTCAGGATGGAGGATGTACAACTGGACAGGAAGACTGGCAACCAGGATAACACCTGCCAGCTCTGCAACAGGATGAAAGCTAAAATGGAAGAGAGAGGTAAAATTAGCACATCTAATTCTTTGAAGTTTCATCAGGTGATACTTGACATTAGAATAATGCAGTAAAGGATTATTAGAGCAAAATGCTGTGCTGTCAAAGAACCTGGATGCTACCAGGACTGTCCTACCAAGGAGTCCTGTCCTCTAAAACCGTTCTTTGAAAATGTTAACCATATGGAGTATGCTATGCAAAGCAGTTATCAAAAAATAGATACCAGCTCTGTCCTTGATATTAAATAGGATCATTTGGATTACTGCAATCAAATATGAAAAAATAGCATTCATTATGAATGTGAATTTACATCCCTTCAACTGTAGAAATTATCAGGAGAATATCTCATTTAAAATTAGCATTATTTAAGTAAGTCTTAAAAATTAAATTGATTGGAGAATAATAGCCTATCCAGACCTTTGGTGCCTTGAACTCCTGCCTGCGTTTACTGCCAAAGTCTATAGTAAGAACTTTTTTCCTCAGAAGTATACAGAACATTATTCTTTTTAGCCCAGATCAGTTACACAGCCCAGATCTTGGGGCAGGAGTTATTTTTGGGGTGGTCCCTTTTGGGTGAGAAGGCTGATGGAGTCAGGTAGTTCTTTAAATGAACACCCTTGATTAACAAAAAATGCACAAAGCCTTTTTTCCTTGAACATTTAAAACAAAGGTCAAAGAAAAAGTGGGAGTTTCATTTGCAATTACAATTGTCTTTAGCTTGGAAAGAACTCTGCCCAAAATCCCATTCTTAGCCTTAGAGGTCACACTCCTGCAGGTTCCCCTAGCTAGGTCTCAGCCTTCCTGGCTCTCTGTCTTGTTTCTGTCCCTCTTCTATCCCACAAGGAATTACTGTATTCAGGTTGATCTCTGCCTTAATGGGAATGCTAGCCCCTAGCCAAACCACCCTGCTGCTGGGTTCAGATTCCTGAAAAGCCTTGGGGAGCACCAAATATTTCTGTTATACGTCAACAAAAGAATGCTTAATTATTCTGTTCTCATCCAGACCCAGCCCACTGGATATGATGCTGAGTACTTTCTGAAAACCCCTGAACTCAGTCATTTCAAAGGCTGCCCCACCACTACTGTTTCCTTAAAGCTGGGGCCCAGGAATACGTCAGCCCAGCATCAGGTGCTCCCCATCACTTTGTACAACCTGCTGGTGTGTCCAGATGCTGGATGTTTTTCGGAGTGAATGGTACTAGGCCATGGGCAGCAGTCTGGGACTTGACTTTGCTGCTCATGCTGGTATCCTGGCTACAAACTAGCATCATCTGTGATGGCTTTTCCTGTGTGGATTTCCTGACATGCTTAATGAGACTTACAGTGGAAACGGTGTCAAATGGGAACCTACTTTATGGCTCCTTAAACCTGGGCTCTTTCCTTCCCAGACACCATCTGCCATGAACTTGTCCACTGAACACTGTCATTCCTATGTCATACTGCCCAGGCTGGGGGGCACAAAGCTCTTCACTAGTCCATGGTCTACAGTAGAATTTATTATATTTTCAGAGGTTTTCAAGAGGGAAATATGCACTTTCGTGCTTAAAAAAAGGACAAGTTATCTGCAAAGTATGGACAAGTTCTGGCAGTCAGCACGACATGTTCATAGATTATGTGCTGAAGGAAAGGCAGATCATTTCTTAGGGATCATAATCCTTATAGTCCTTTTTGGTTCTGTGTTTTCTAGTTCGTGTTTCTTGTCAGTTGGCCAACTGATTTTCCTTCTGTTTCAGAGGAAATGTGCTAAATGGCAGATCCCAGGATGGTCACTCGACTGACATTTTATGTTAGGCTAAAACATGTGATCTTTGACCCTGACAAAAGCAAAAGTCAGCCACACGTACACAATATGTATGTATACACAGAGTGTGGAAAAAGAAAAGGTAAGAGACTAAGCCACACCACCACAAAAGTTATAAGTAACCAAGCAGAACAAAGGTCTGCCCTTAAATGCTAAAGATAAGTGTAACACTTTTTATGGCTGATAACATGCCTTGCCCCATTGTTAGGCTGAGAACTTTTTACAGCTGAGCAAAAGATAACAACCAGCTTTTATGTGGCATGCCTTGTAAAATAATAACTAACAAGAAAGTGCTCTGCAAAGAAGGCCTGTATTGTTATCTCCATGTCTCAGAAAGGAAACCTGAGCAGCAGAGGGAACTTGCTTAAGGTGCCTTACAGGTGCAGGTGACTTTCCGTGTTCCAGCACAGATATCAGAAACAAAGATGGAGAAGCCAGCCTTGCTTTGTTGGGCAGCTGAATGCACTGCCCTGCTTACAGCAAGTATCTCTGGAATGCTACAGGCATTGGCTCCACTCCACAGGCTGCTCTGCGGGCACTGTAGCAGCCAGTCTGGGGCTGTGCTGGAGGCAGAACTGGTGGAGCAGCCCTGCACCATCAGCTGGGTGGGAAACTGCAGCGCTTTGTCTGCTTCTGAAAGTGGGACACCAGCCATGCTGGGAGGGCAGGAGGCTAAGGAAGGGCAGGGTAGAAAGGCAGCCAGGAGAGAGGATTTACTGAGGCTGTCACTGCTCGGGGATGCTGGCTGGTCTGGCGACCCGCATGCCCCTGAGAAGCAGTGATGGCATCCACTGCCTCCACTGGATTGCTTGCCCTCCATCCTGCATGTGCAGAGAAGGAACAACCTCTATAATAACTCATTAACCCAAATTGCCTCCTGTTCTTATCTAGCTCTGCCACTGAGGCGTAGCAACAGCTCTCCAGGAAGCCTTGGAGTGCCCAGTGAAGGGCCTTCATGTGGCTCCCTGGGCCCACCAGACACCCTCCAGCAACATGCTGCCGTGGAACTGAGCAGCTCAGCAACCAGAGCTCGAGTACACAGCTCACCCTCTGAGAAGGTTCTTTCATTTGACACCGGCTTATCCTGCTTGAATGATGAGCTGCAGTTTCCACATTAAATCCCAGCACCTTTCACTGCAGCAGCCCTTGGCCTGCCTTCAGCTCTGTAGTGGGTGAGCTAAGAGCAAACCGTCTGCCCGTGTGGATGTATGGAGCAGAATGTGCATCTATACGTTGTCATGGAGATGCCATGGGATACATCCTCGGGTTTTGCTGGTTGGGCTTTTTCTGTATCACGCGTTTGTGCAGAAATGAGGCTTTTACTAAAATACAGTATCCAAGATTTTCTGGAGCATAAGTGGAATGTAGATCTGTGTCAGATCAGATGAGGTCACTTCATTTGTGATCACTTGCACGGGTCTTACTTTTTATTTTCCACTTACACTGCCCCTGATCACATATGCACATAGCATCAGCAGTTTAGAGAATTAAACAAGTCCGAAATAGTGGAGGGGGGAGAGAAGCAGGCCATATGCTTCAATAGTAACAATTCAAAGATGCAAGATGAGGTGCAGGATACAGTGGATTTTGCAAATACAGTGGACTTGAAATAATCGATGGGGAATTGCCCTTAGGAGCTAACTTGAGATATGTGAAATCTCTGTAATTTTCCTATATTACCTCATGTGTTAAGGTAAGCAGTTTTATTGTTCGTGTCCATCTGATCTTCTGTTTTTCCTTAGTAATAGTCTCACAAATATAGTAACAGATATTTTCAGTGAAACAGGGCCTTCAGAAAAAGAGTCATTAAAAAGGAGAAAGAATTATCGATTTCTAAATTATACCTTGTCCATAAAAGACAAATCACTTGGCCAGTGAAGATCACATTCCCAATATGTGTAAGCAGTCAAGGACTGCAATCAGAGGGGCCGAGGCCCTGTCTACCCGATAATTACATAACCAGAAGCTAACTCCAGAAGACAGCACCATCTCACAGCCTGCAGACCATCTTCAATCTAAGCACTGTTATAAAAATATCACCTTAGTCTTTCTACATAATGTGCTTCTGATACAAGCTTTCCTGTGTACCCACAGCTAAACCTCTACCCAAGCTCTCATCTAAGTGTGCTAGATTTTTTTTCTAATTGTGCTTGGAAATGATCATCAGTTGTTGGCCTCTTTCTGAAGTTATTCAGATCTGAGATTACTCTGGAGAACCTGCTGCATTTTCATAGCACTGCTGCTGCAGGTCCGCCAACCAAGAAAAGCTCCCCTGTGCCTGTTGACATGAATAATCCCCAGCATTTTTAATACAGGCTGTCTTCGCCAGTTGGCTGACACTTGTGCTATGCCATGAATAAAAGCTATTTGATGACAGATGAAAAATGGATGTGAAACACTTGCTGCTATATTTCCTGTGCTGCATGGGAGCTGCTCCCTATTGTTTGTCATGTGCAGGAATGTTAAGATGCTAAAAGCAACTTGAATGCAGACAATGATGACATGAGAGTGCAAGGCAGTAAAGAAAACAAGACCCCATACCTATTCTAATAGCCTGCATCTTGCATATATTCCTCGAACAGCTTTAAGTATAAGTTCAAAAATGTGTGTTTTAATGGCTTTACCTAGCCAAAGTGTGCCCTCAAATCAGCACAGAAAAGATTCCCCTTGTTACCTGGCTGGAGACAGTTTAGTTTTACCAGGGAAGAAGATGGGGATTCAGGGTAGATTGGACAGAATGAGAGAGGGAATGTCTGGCTAATGGAAGACAGGAGATGGACCCAGCTGCCAGATGAGCATGAAGAAGAAAGGAGCGTTGAACCATCCAAGAACAAGATAAAATGAGCAGGAAAGAGGAAGGACTGAGAAACAGAGGCAGGAGAAGAAGGGGGAGGAGCAAGTTCAAAGATTAAATTATGGGGGGCCTCAGAGGGGAGATTTGGAGGTTTCACTGGAGATGAGATGCTGGTGGGCCAATGTGTCACGGCTGTGGAATACTTAGCAGGAGCTTCCAGGCAAAGTGACGGAAGAAAGTGTAAGGAGAGGAGGGAGGACGAGCTACTGCAGCACAAACTGCTGTGACACGGGCAGGAGTGTTCTGAAGATGGGCAGCAAAGGAAAGGCAGGCTATAATGAAGGTTTAAGACATCCTAACACCTTTGGAAACAAAGCTTACAGATGACCCCCTGAAGCCTTTTCATATGAAGAAAGCAAAATATGCCCAAGTTTTAAAGGACTATCAGGAAGAGAGCGCGCATCATGTACTAAGCAGACAACAATCCTAAGAAACCATATCCAGTGGAACGCAAAAGACATCAAGAAAATGATCATTCTCTACCATTCACTTGACTGCAGGCCACGTTGATCCTTGCTCTGGGTTTTGCATTCATTGAGAAGGATCAATAAGCAGACTTATAATCAACTCTGAGCTTTCTCTCCCACTTCAGTCTCCGCCAGGGCTCTCTGGAGAGCCTCCCTCCTCTCCCTTATCGTCAGCTCAGAGCTGGAGCTGGCAAAGCACACCTGCCGCAATGACTCGCTGCTCACAGCCCTGTGCCTCCAATATAAAGTTTCAAGCACCCGATATTAGTATGACGCAGGTGAGCTCTGCAGCATCTGTACACAGACCCGGGTTTTGCAGAGCCTTCAGCTGCTGCAGGGCACCTCAGGGCCAAGCAGTGCTGCTATAGTTGAGGGCTCAAACGAGGGGAGGTGGGATCGTGGCACTTCATAGCCAGCTCTGCAGCAGTAAGGCCTCTTTTCTCTGGCAAATGGCTGAGCCAAGAAGCAGTATGACCACAGCAGCATGAGAAACAGAGAAAGAAAAAAAGAATTTCTTTTCCTCTAACAGCAAAAAAATAGTGTGTGTGAGCACATATAGTGTCCGGGTGATTGCAAGGCAAGACACAGTGACAGCATGATGGCATAATTTCCAGATGACATATCAAGCAAAAATGCTTTGGAAAGCTCTGCTAGCCAGATCAGCTTTGGAGATGTGTGACTAACAGCAATGGGCCATAATAATTATTTTTTAAATGTCACTTTAAGCACAGTTTTCTCCTGATTATCACTAGAGCACATTTCTGGCACAAAGTGCCTTTGTACAGTATATCTTCATAGTATGTGAAGCTAGCACTCAGCTCTAGGCAAGGATGGTAAAAAACAGTATATCATTTTGCTCTTGCAAGGGAGAATCTAACAATTTGGCCATCTGCTGCATTCCACAGCAGTGACAGCTCATGCTTGTGTTTGGTGCTAGAGCTGGGGCTGGCGATGCAAGAGCAGCCCTTCCTCCCCACCCTCCTCCAGACTTAGCAGCTATACCCATCCCCATTGTGCCATTGCTCCTCTTGTGCCCTTCCCACTACCAATTTCCCTTCTCACCTGAAGGTGGGTGAACTGTCGTGCTGCCTTGCTGCATCTCCCTGCAGCTGGTCTCCGCTCCTCTTGGTTTGCCCAGCCTTGCTCTGCCATTGCCCACTGCTCAAGGTGGGGATGCTGTAGCTCTAGGTCACTGGTTGCACAATGTTCATTCCCATGTCATGGCAAATGGCCAGTGAGAAGAGAGCTGCTCCTGCCTGTCCTCATGCAGCTTGAGTCTTCAAGCCTATTTCAAAGAAGAATGAGAAAGCAATTATTTGGCTGCACTGATTTCAGCCTCCCTGCATTCATTATGAGGGGACCTGATAAAATGACATCTCTGCAAGTAACTGCACCCAGGCTCAGAGATATCCACTCTTCTTTGAAATGCAGTGGTCAGCTATGATGGCAAGGAGCTTGCCACAGCTGGGCTGAACCTTTAATGTCCCTGCTTGATCAGCAGTTGGACCAGATTGACCCAGAGTTCCCTGCAGCCCAGCTTTTCTCAGAGCCACAGCAGAGTAAATCCACTGCGGTGCTCCTCAGCCCTGGGCACATCCAGCTCCTGCTGCAAGCTCCTTGTACAGCACAAGTAGATAGCATGCCCACCAGGCTGCCACGGTGCTGCAGGCCCTCCCTTGCCTTTCCCACCCTGCATCTAAGCACACTGATGTGCATCAGGCACTCTCCTGTTCCTCTTACCCTCTTACCAAAAGACAGCTCCTACCTGCTGCTGGGGGCAGTGTGCCTGACTCACAAGGACTAGCTTTCTTTTAAAAAAGATGGATGTTTCTGAAGGTCACCATTTTTACAGCTTTAACATTCATAATCCTGTGATCCTGCAATAGTTACGTTCAGCATCTGAGTTACCACAGTGCACAAATTGTATTTGTGGTATCCTCAGAGGCCGAGTGCCAAGCTGGGAGCAGATAAACACATTGCACACGGCTTACGAGGCACAGAGGCGCAGAGCAGCCCCGTGCTCTCCGACACAGCAATTTGCCTTCTTGTGGCACATGAAACATATCAGCATGTGCTCATCGGGAACCAAAGACCCAAGCACAGGAAGGCAGACTTGGGGCTTAGCTTCACAACCAATTTTCCTCTGGTAGCTCTGTAGAAAGCTAAATATTCATGCACACTAAATAACACTTGTTTCTTTAAGAGGGTTTGCTCTCCTAGCGCTAATCTCTGCTGAATTGCTGAGTTCAGTGGGATGCATTCACCTGTGGGGTTTAGCGCAAGGGTCTCAGCATCCTGCATGCAGGCTGCTTTTGGCTCTCTATCCTGAGCAGGGATCTGGAGCCTGGGAGATGGTCGGGTCGATGGAGACGATGCTCAGTGCTCGTCATGGGGAAGAGGACGCGCGTGCTGCCAGGCAACGGCTCTGCAGCGCCCGTGCCAATGGCTGCAAACACCTCTGCAGAGGCAGGTCTGCAGCACGAGCATCCAACCCGGTCTGCTCACTGCCTGGGGGCCTGTAGGCACATCCCTGCCAGGAAGGGAGATTGAACTGTGCCCCTCATGCCTGCAGGGAGCAGGGCAGAGAGGACAAGCCCCTTTTGGAGTCTGGGCAGGGCTCTGGGGGTCTCAGTGCTAGCATCAGCCAATGCTGCTCAGTGGCAGCTGAGAAATAAAGCCCTTGCCCCACTGTTTATATTAGGGTGGGGAGGAATGGCAATTCAGGCACATGGGCTCCAGAGGGATGTCTGATGTTCTGGTCTTCATCTGGGTCTTTAATTGCCATCCCCAGGCTCTGCTGCAATCTGCCATACACAGCTTGGTAAAGGAGGATAGAACAGATTTTAATCACAACAGATATGCATATGTACATGCATTCACATATACCTATGCATGAAAAATTCATTCAATGGGATTAGGTACAATTACCTTAGGATGTGCAAAGCAGCAGTGCCATCCACAGCAAGCGTTCCCTTTGCTTACTCTTTTCAATGAACTACTTTGATTTCTCCAGTCCCTCATTCCATGAATATTCTTCCAAAAGCAGTGCAGTGGTCTGCCTACTCAGTTTCCAGAAGTTTGCCTGCAGTGGTAGTTAGGTCTTTACTACTTGATATCGCCCGAGGAAATGTTTGTAAAGATTCTTATTCAGCTTTTATTTTACAGCTAGGGGCAGATGCTATGGAATAAATTTCTTTCCGTCCTGCTTTGTCCTTCCTGGGCAGGATTTGGCCACAAGTACAGAAGAGAGACAGAAGTTATTGTGAGACGTGCAGATGACATGCACTCTCGACACTCAGCACAGCTCAGACCCTACAAATACCAATGTGAGGTGAGAGCAGGTGAAGAGAAGGGCGAGGCCAGATAATTTATTGCAGCTCCCCCTGCGGGAGTTACAGATAAATCTCAAGGGATAAAATAATGTTTGCGGAAGAAGTTTGCTGCTGGGGGATAAGAATTGCGTCTCCTCCTGGTCCCAGGAGCAATTCCACTGTGGGGACAGAAGCTCTGCAGCAGTAGCACAGCACCATTCTGAAGCAGTGTTTGTCCCCGAAGCCCCCTCCCTTTCCCACTGAATTCCATCACTTGGGCTGTGGCAGGAGGGCAGCAGGGCTGCAGGCAAGCACCCCACCCATCAGCTGGCTTTTTGGAGTGCTGATGCCCCTGTTTAAGGGGAACACCACAAAGGACTACTGCTAGGAGGTTTGGAGCAAGGGCTTAGACACCTGCCTCAATGTCCCATCAGTCCAGATGAAAGCCAGGGCTGAGCCCCAGGGCTCTGAGTCAGCTGGGTCCCGCTGTGGTGACAGGGAGGGCTGCCAGCTGCCGGCCAGCCTGGGCACCGCTGTCCCAGCACAGTGAGAGCACCTGAGTGTGACAGCCAGCACGCTGCTCTCCTATGCGTAATTTGCTGCGATCGTGTTATAAATCAAGATGAGACTGCTAAAATTACATATGACCTCATTTGATAGATTATCTAATAAGGAATTTGCTAATGCAGTTTATCACTTAAAAAGCCATATGACTGTTAAGGATGAGTACTTTGCTGCAGCACATTTAAACCTAATTGTCAGAGGAGAAAAGCAAGCAGATTTCAGAGGTGAGTTAGAAGAGCATCCTTATGAGGATGATGTCTTCACTAAATCAGTGGTGCAATGCAGCAAGCAGGGTGGAAAGGAGTCTCCTCTGGATAAAGGTACAGAAAGCTGCTAGATGAGACCGGCTGTGGGAGCATTCTGCATGCAGCACTGATCGGGAGAGCCTTCCTGCCTGTAAATATCCGTACCCCAACGGCATGCTTGATTTTATTGTTTGACCTAATGCTATCTTTTGTCATTATAACATTTCAGTTCTGCTTTCCTGTCTTGCAAGTAGATCGAAAATCTCTGGTAGATTGAAAGGAGTTCTGTGCCCAGACCTCCAGCTCTAACTAGCTATTCTGGTTATTGTGCTTGTCAGAATGAAAAGAGTAATTGTTTTGCTGCTATATGTTACCATCCAATATTTTTGTTCTTCCAGTCCTGTGACTCATTTAAAAATACTGAACATCGCTTCCACATACACAAACAGAACTATAAAGCAGCTCAAGCCAATGAAACAAAGCTCGTTTCGCAGGTTTGTTAACCAAGTGTTCTGTTCCAATCCTTGATTTATGATTAATATAGATGCCTTTTTATTTCTTGACGATTTTATAAAGCTCATTGTGGGGTCTGAATGCCTGCATACATTCCCTGGTTGGATGATACCGTTCAAAGCCTCCGAGAAAAACATTAAACCTGCTCACAACTCTCTCCGCGTGTGGGGAGGGGGAGGTGTTAGAAAAGTGACGATTTTGAGCTCCATTTTAGGCTTGGGCAGAATGAGGTGGAGACGTGAAAGAGCTCACAAAAGGCCACACAGAAAATCGATAGCAGAGCCAGGGCTAAAGCTCCTGACTTCCCTGATCCCCACTTCGTCTCCTGGCTCCCAAGAGCAAAACCAGCAAATGTCCCCTTCCTATCCCCTGAGCACACCCTGCTTCATTTGCAACCCTCTGAAGGTGGAGCTTGTTCTTTCTCAGGGGAAATCATGTTTTATGGCAGGAATGGGGAAGTTGGACATTGCTTTACAGGTAATAGGATGTGATCGTTGGCAGAATAAGGGAGAAGGTAAATTTTGCAGTGTGCTACTGAGTCAAAATGGTAGGTGAACCCTGTATTGACTTAAGTGAACAACTGCTGATTTGGGATTGTACAAGAGCTGCCGGTGTCACAAGAACAGCAAAACTACCCACAAAACATTGCAAATGCCAGGGACAGTGACCAAGCGAGCTGAAGGAGTATATTTTAGTAGAGTCATACACTGGAAACATGCAAGGAAACCCCCTGTGACATTTGCATCGAGGCCCACCTGACCACTGTTACGCCTCAATTAGTAATGCAGTCCCAAGAGAGTAGTTGGGCCTGCTTCTTGGAGAACTGGAGTCTGTGTTTCTGCATGAACATGCCAATGTGTGCATGCATCTGGCTGGAATCATTTGCCTGCAGAAGTGGAGAACAGAAAGTAAAGGAAACATCACTGGCCTCACAGAATAGCCCTGTTCTAATCCAGAGAGGCCATGTGAGGGCTGAGCACAGCTGTGCCACATCAGTGCTTGGGGTTTCCCCCCCAACACTAGCTGATGCAAACTGAGTCAGTGGATTTTACATTGAAAACACATCTCTACAGCAAGCTGGGCTCACTTACCCTGCACTGTCAAATAATGCCAGTGATAATCCTCAGTCACAGTTGACATAGACAAAAATGTCACAAGCCCTCACAAGTCATTCCATGAGCCATCCAGCCTCTTGAGCTCTTACCACCACCAAGATAAGATCTAGATAAGATATGATGATAAGCCTCATTCAAGACCAAGGGAAAACCAAGAAAACCAGGAAAGGTCACCAGGTTGTGGCTTTTAAGTATAATCATCGAATCACAGAATCATTAGAGTTGGAAAAGACCTCTAAGATCACCAACCGTTCTCCTTCTGCCAATACTGCCCACTGTACTGTGTCCCTTAGTACAACATCTTCCTCTTCCTTAAAACACCTCCAGGGCCACTGACATAAAATCTCCCCTGAGCCTCCTCTACCCCAGACTGAACAATCCCAGTTCCTTCAGCTGCTTCCCATAATACTCACGTTTTTCCCCCCAAAACACAGCCATTCAAAATAGACGTTTTTCATTCCTTCCAGGCAGTAAGCTCTACCATGTAACTGCAGGCACTGTGTTTGGCCATATGGTTAGTAATGCACTATGAAGCTATACATGTTATAAAAATAGTACTTAGTCAAATTATTCTTAAAACGTCACTTATAGGGCAAAAAATATCCTCTAGAAACAGACTGTAAAATTACACTTTGAGGTTGCTATCTGGCACAACAGTTAAATTCTCCTGCTGTGCAAATCAGGAGGTGGACTGCTTTGAAAACAGGAGGTAAACATTCCTAGAAGGACAGAACCAGAAGGTGTGGCAGTGAGTTTCTGCTGATCAGCAGCTCAAGACCTCTCAGAACAGCTGAGGGTGCACAGGAGAGCAAGGCCTGTACCTGAGGGCCACATTCTGCTCTCCTAAAAGACAGAAATCCCACCCCATCATACGTCCTCTGAGATCATCTGGGAGATCTGCAGCTGAGTCACCATTAAATAGCAATGCAGAAATTTCCAAGACTGTGAGCAGCAAAGTTTTACAGACATCCTATTATGTTCAGCTTACGCAATGTGAGTGCTTAGCTGCTCAGATAATACAGTTATAGAGCTTTGTGGAATTAAAAAAAGGAAACGCTTCCTTCAGTTAGTAGTATGGCAGGAATGGAATTGCAGTGCTCCAGAAATAAAGTCAGTGCCACTTTTTTCCAGGCTTTATCAGATATTTCCAAGAGGGACTTGCTGCAGCAAAGATGACACCTCAGCTCCTATAGTCGTGACATAATTTATACTGAACTTTGGCTTTTCAAAGCATTATCTTGCTTTTGGAAATAGAAGCCTCTGGTGACTCAGAGGTACAAAAGAGCAATGGTCAAGGTTCAAGCAGCAGTCTAAAGACATTTGTTTTCTTCCTGCTGAACTGCAAGACTTGCTTTAACTTCTGCTTAAATTCTTACTTCTGTTTGTACACAGCACCAGCATTTTGCAAAAGACAGGCAACTCCTATCTCCATCTTCCCTAAAGATAAACATGAGCCTTGCACAAGCATCTGCAGCAAGAAACTGCAGCTAATATGGTGGAGTAATGGCAGAAACATGTTATACCTAGAAACATTCTTTGCTCAGAAATTTTTGAGCTTATCTATGTTACATAAAATACCAAGGAGTTCAATATTCCACTGGCTTAAGTCACAGCTTTATCAAAGCAAGTGGAATTATGCTGATTTGTATTAGATGACCATGTATTTGAGAAACATCTTTTGGCGCAGGTGGCTGATGGACTCCAGTGGGGCTCTCCAGGGGAAGATAAAGGCAGCAGTAGGAAATGAGCCCTATACAAAGTAATATGCTATGCTTTAGTGAGAAGCGTGCAGGGTGAAAAATGCACCCTGTGTATGTACAAGATACAGCGTATCCCCAATAAAATAACAACAGCTCATGATCCAGATGCAGCATATGCACACACATAGACAACACAAATTAGTGCTTACTCCAGATGTGTTTCTTCCACGTGGCTTCTGGTGACTTCCTCTGCTTTCTTTTCTGAAGTAGCATCTTTGGTGTCTCAGACTCCAAGTGGGTCATCTAAGGGCTCTTTTTCCAGCACTGCTGTACTTGGAGAGATGTGATTTATCCGAAAGGCAGGCTATGCAAACAAACATACAATAAACTTATGCAGTTTCAAATTTTTTCCACTCCGGAGATTCTTCCACCACTGCCTGACCCTTTGGTGCAAAACGCACCAGCAGCCTCAAAGCTGGTATGTAAACTTAACATGCCAGACAGGGGGAATGCTAAGGGCATCCATAGTCACACAGTTTCCATGATGGGAAGTGACTGTATTCATGCGAGAGTGGAAAACTTGGTGTACCAGCAGCCAGATCATTTGCTGTGGAATAACTCATTCACTATTGAGCAATGACTACATGGTGCAACTTCCCCTGGGCTCACAGCTGCCACTATCAAAAGCAGGGCTGAAAAGAGCAAGGAATTGTAGCAGAAGGACTCACACTCCCTGCTGCCACAAAGCAGGCCTGAGTTCCAACCAAACACTAGCTATTAAAAATTGGCTCACGACAACATCAGCATTTCCTCTGTGGAGTCTCATGCCCAAGGGATGAGAGATATGGTGCCAAGCCATCTTGCTTATTGACAAGAAAAGTCCGCCAGTTCTCTGCAGTAATAGTAATAAAAAGGTCACTACCAGCAATGCTGCTATCCCATTGCTTTGAAACCGATGCTCAGGACTATTACTTTTTGTCTTTATTTATTACCAAGCATTATTGCTTGGCAGGCAAAACTCTTGGACTGTGATGTGTACCGATCCTTCCAGCATCTAGGTTTTCACAGTGATATTAATACTCAAGAGTACTGGAACAGATCTAAGATAAATATCCTAGTGTCCTCTCTGCTGAGTCCTACACATCAGCCACTGAGTTCAGATGGAGAAACATTCGGTGTTCCAGAACAGGATGGAGAACAGCCAAGGGAGCTTTCTGTATGCAAACGGAACAGAATACAAACCAAAGCTGCTCTTTGGGCCTGCTATCCTGCAACACACACTGTTTGACTTCACACCCACAGCCCGCAGCCCCTTCTCTCCTACACTTGCACAGATGCAAGGCACCACCTCGCGTCCCAGTGCTGCAAAGTGGCTGGGTTGGGTTGCTGCAGCATTAACAGGGCCAGAATGAAGATAGGCAGGACAAATAGGAGCAGAGCAGGTGCCACATCCCAAGGAACAGTGCAGCAAACCTCCCTGAGAGGAGCAGCAGGCTCTGTTGTTCAGCATGCTTCCAGCTGATCGCCATCCCCCCCTGCTGCTCCCAGAGCAAGGTGTTCCCCAGGTGCTATGACTTACCCCTCCCAGGCATCAGGCCTGTGCACCCATGTGAGGACAGCTGGGTGTTTCATGCTGAAGCAGCCGAAGAATATATTCAAGAATCTTTGATAAAAGCTACAATTTTATGCACCATAGAGCATCCATCAAGGAAATGCGCGGAGCTAGTGCCACAAAATAATTACATGTGCAGAGTCCATTGTAAACACAGCTTTTGTGTGCATCAGCACAGCTGGGGACAGTGTTTAAAAATATAATTATGTAGTGCATTTTATGTAGTCCGTGAGCCATTCAAGTGATACCATCAGTTCAGCAAAATTACATGCAGCAGTTCTGTGTCTATTGGCCCGAGCAAAGAAACATTTTTCAAGAGCATTATTTTTTTTTCCTGCTATGAAATAGATTTGTCTCTGATGCTTACGGGGAAGTTGTGTCTCTGTCATTGGCCACTTTCTCTTCTTCTTTCACCAATGAAGGAGAAAGAAATGGGGAGTTATTTTTGGCCCTGCAACAGACTCCAGCATCTAAATCAGTTAGTCCTGCAACCACTTGGGGTGGTGGTGTTGGTTCCCTTTTAATGGCTTCACAGAGAAGGAATTTGTGATGTTTGACTGCTAGCAAAAGGAAACAAAGCAGCTGTCATTGGATAGAAGGGCAAAACAAGGTTAAGACACTGTGTAATGAAGCAGGGTCTGGCCTTTAACACTGAATCAGTGTGCAGCAAACGATGAGCCCTGGCCAGATCAGCACAGAAGCTATTACTCAGCCATACATATGCTACAGCATAGTGGGTGATCTCCATCATAGCAGCTTTGCAGCTATGCTTATTTCTGACCCTCCCACTGTTTATTTTATCCTTGTAAAGCTTGTATCATATTAGCTGCAGAAAACATACAGGAAGCTTTCTTTTCCTTCTCATATAACTGCAGCTGCAGCTGAGTTGAGATGATGCAACAGTAAAATTCTGAGACAGTGCTTAACCACTGCTGCTAAACGGCAGTAGCAGCATGCACGCTTACCTGAGACAAAAATAGAGCTTTATAGATATTATCTGAAGGCCATTTTAAGGCCCCAACGCTTTCACTGCTTTGTAGACAGTAGCTTATGTGTGTTGGCCAAATCCCACCTGCAAAAATTACGTTTGACCTACCAAAATCTACACCAAAAAAGCAGATGGCTTTTGCTTTTAAGACCATTAAAAAAATCTGTACCTAGTTTTATAATACGAGATTCACAGGTGGGAGTAGTGAGATAGCTTCTGCTGCTAGTCAGGAGCCGCTTGGCACAGAAATAGGACTTGATGCTGATTTCTAAATATGGGATCTGAAAGCTGCAAAGAGATTTCCTCTTCTCTGTTAGCTGCTGGGCCAGGTGTGGCATACTGGATTGCACAAAAAGGAGAACATGGACCAAATTTCAGGCATCTGTATTCTTGCTCCATGCTCATTCTGCTCCTCCCTAAGAATATTGCGTTTCTTTTTTCTTAGTGGAACAGCGTTGATTGGAAGACAGAAGACACAGCCTGCCGTGGCAGAGCCTACTAAAGTGGGAGCCGTGCACTGAGACCTCATTAGGATGATCAGCAGTGTTCAATAGAACAGCAGAGCAGCTGAAAGTTCAGCACGGACATGTTTCTAAAGGGAAGTAAATACAACAGAGCTGTTTGAAAAATAGCAGAATTGCCATATATTTGTCTCCAGAGCTACTAAATGATTTAGGTCCTTCCTTCCCCACTGACATCTCTGTAAAATACATTTTGAAGATGTAGCTCTTTGTGCTCTCTGGCGGAGTCTGCATGCATTATCTAGATAAAGACTTGCATAGTGCATGCCACCTATGATTCACAAGGGAAGCTGAACAGCCATCATTCCTTTGCCTTCAATGCACAGACTGCTGACAAAGAGGTACGCTGGTGACCATATGTCAGGTCAGCTTACACAAGGAAAATGCGTATATGTATTCAGGCTTCCATATATACGTAAGCGTATAAATACGCAGTGTATGGATACCGAGTAGAATTTTTATATGGCATTAGGGAAGACTGGCACTGGGGAGATCAAGGTAGATAAATGGCATCTATAATTAAACTTGAGGAAAAGCAAACCTCTGCATTTTTAATTGCACTCAGAAGCAGAATTTTTGGAGAGAAATTTATCAACTGAAAACAATTGCTTCTTTGCAGCACGGAGGTACGTGGTGCAGTCAGTCAAAATGAAACTGTTACTGCTTCCTACCATGTAGACAAATGGAAGGTATAAACAAGCAGCACTTTTAATTCAACTTGCTAAGCAGAACTGGTCAGTAGCCCACTAAGAAATACTACACTGTGTGGTATCAGCATTGAATGTGGGAGTTTTGTGGCGGCTGAGTTGGTTTTCTCCCTCTAAAATGGAACATTTTATGTTCTCATGGGAATTTGTGATTGTCAGCTCAAATGTGTTTGTTGCTCTGAAACAGGATGCATTTAACACCGTTCCTGTGTATAGGGAGCTGGATTTTCAAAAGCACATTGCTGAACAAATACTTTGATACGGATATACGTCTGCAGTTTGCTTATGCAGAAGGCAGTAACTTTGAAAGTCTGGCTCAAGAAGTATCTCTATAACAGGTGAAGACCAAATTCTTCTTCATCTATCTTATCCAACCCAAGTGAAATGGTATCTCTAAGACAAGGTGACAGATTTACAGTCTTGGACCCTACAATGCTATACTAATTAACGTGTTTCTTTTGAAACATAGTAGAGTTCTGTCAGCAGATGTGACATGGGGAAGAGGCAGGAACGGACAGGCAATGGAACTTCCTCAGGATCACATAACAGATTGGTAGAGGAATTCACAGCAGAGCTCCTGACTTGTGTGTCACACATTACTAATTGCACCTCAGGTCCAAACTGCTCATGGTATGCTTTTCTGTACAAATATCACAACGCTGCTCTAACACAGCAGCATCAAAGAATGTGCTCACTGGACATTTGTTATACAGATATGTTTTAAAGTTCTTAAAACAAAATTTACTTGAAGAGATATGATCTATGCAAGTGGATTCAACGCAGACATTTGGATCAAATGCTAACAGAAAAAAATTGATTGAGAAAAACACTTGTCAGTAGAAACTATTTTCGACAACCAGAAGGAATCTTCAAGAATAAAAATGTAAATAATTCACTGAAGTATTTTCTAGGTGAAGCCTAGCCGTGAATTTTGAGGCAAAAATGTGCAGGCACCATACTGATGTCCTAGAAATAAAGGAACAATGCCACTTCTACCTTTACCAGCAAAAGGATCCCAGCATTGACATTTAGAGCGGGGAAAATAAAAGTTAAAAACAGAGGGAATCTTTCAGTCTGTGTCTGCAGATACTCCTGAACAGCCACAATGAGGTTAGTGCCAGATATATTCATTAGTTAGCAGATTTACCTAGCTGTATCCACAACTCTCATTCCTTGAAACCAATCTATCATTCTTAAAATATGGTACATATGTGAAACTGTTACCTCTTCCAAAACAGACAACTGCCCTGGCACTGCAGAGTAAGTGCAGTGCAGAGTAAGTAATACTGCAGGGTAAACAGTGGGTTTTGGTAACATGTTCAAAAGAATATTGTAAGAAGAACCGTCAACCCTACGACCTTAAATTCCTACAATGCTCTTCTTTAATCCCTCATACTAATGTTATTTATCCAGTGTTAATTAAGGACTCAGTTTAAAAGTGGTTTCTAATTTCAGGTGCCTCACTTAAGTCACCCAACTGTTAGAAATATGGCACACCAAACTCCAGCTGAAATAATGGAAGCAGTGGGCAGTGTGTACATAATCCCATCTCATTCCCTGCAGTCACAGTAATAGCATCCCCGCTCTTCTAAACACTGCAGCTAAGCCAACATAGCTACTCAAACTGTATTTCCTTTCAAACTGGGAGTTAGGAAAGCATTGGATATTTGGAGAACATGCATCCACGATATAATTTTCTAGGTAAGAAGATATCAACATATAGATTTCTTGAAGAAAAAAATGCCACCCAAAATACCATAGCCACATTGTTAAAGAGAACAGGAAACATGAAACAAACTGAACCTGTAATGATGTCTTGGTGCTGTGCAGTTGCAGATACTAATCATCTTCACAGTTCAATTTCTCATCTACTTCCGTGCTCGTGAAATGGAAAGTTGAGAACATGGCTAACTTGACTGGCAGATAGAACAGGTAGATGGCAGTTTTGAACTGGGAAACTACAGAAGAGATTCAGCCTTCAGAACAGTAAGAAGGTGCCATGATGACCCTCAAACACCTCTGCTCATCAGGATGGTTCCTGCTACTTGCTATGCATGACAACAAGAGAAGTGGTGCTATGTCCTCTTCTCATCAACAAGGGTAACAACAAAACAAATTATTTAAGGAGTGTGTGATGAGTATCATTACCTAAGAGCACTGAATGTTTTTTTCACCATGGAAATTGTGTAGGTAGATGTGGAAGAAGTTCCAGAGAAGTGCCTACCTGCTGTAATGTCCCAAGTTTTTATGGCTGTTTGCCAACACCTAGATCCAATTTTGGGTACCCTTTCAAGGCTCATGCAGTTGAGAACTTGGTCTGTTATAGATTCACGGAGTTTAAGTCAAGCAAGGACTATTACATCCTAATGCACATATCACTGCTCTTTTAATTTCATTCAGGAACTCTGTATAGAACAAAACAACTATTAAATAAATTTGATATAAATATTTATATTAATGTTTGGTATTAATATTAATATTAATGATATTAATATTTGATATTAAATAAAGTTGATATAATCTGTCTTTTCAAAAGTTATTCAGTATTACCTTAAGGAAGGGTATATCAAAAGTTACTAGGAAGTTTTTCTTTAGCAACATCACCTCAACCTCTAAGCCAAATTTCTGGTTTGAGTGTGCTTAGCCTCAAGTTCCAGATAGTTGAGCTGCTCTCCACCACTTTGCCACACATTCTTGAGCCATTCAAGATATTATTTTTTTTGTGTGTGTGTGACAAGTACAGTATTACCATGAAATAACTTTATACTAAGTAAACAACTCTTGTCTTCCTTTTAAAACTAAATAGAGAGATTCCAGGCTACTATAATCTGTTTGTGGCTTTCAGCACAACTGTTAGAAATACCCGAGCAACCAATGTATCAGTCATAAACACTCAACGTTATGTTGGTGTTTGATTTTTACATGCAAATATAGAAATAGAGAAGGAGGAAAAAGTGTGTGTGCCCTAATCAGCAAGTCAGCAACATCACAAGAGACATCATTCAGGTTTAGACTTCATCTGTCTTACTTTGTTTACCTAAGTTCAAACTTTACCTTGTAGCACCATAGGAAAAAAAAAACCAACAAACAAGGGAAAACATTGCATTTCCATATCTGAACAAAGATTTTAGATCCCTTGTGTTGTCCATGGGACTGCTTAGCTGCTGCACAGAACAGCATTCAGACAAAGGCTGTGGCTGCAGCAGTGTAAGGAGCACAGCCAGGCCACAGATGCACCCCGCAGGCTGGCTAGAGGGGTGGCTGGGCAGCAGCATGCGTCCCACTGCCAAGAGTGAACTGGGACTGCTTCCATGCAGCCCTTCTGTGGGTCACCTGTTTTGAGCTGGAACAGAGTGCTGATATTTGGGCTTTGGGCTGTGGCTATTCAAGGACTGAGTTCATGTTTGCTAAGCTGTTAATTACTGCGCAGGACTTAGTGTAATACCAATGACACAGCAAGAACTACAAGAAAGTGAAGAAAGTCTTCACTTTCTCATTCTCCACCAGTACCAAGGGGACTGTAAACCACTTCTTACTTGACATTATTCTGTCTTGAAAAGAGGTAACCATCCTAGGAACGGCAGATAGTTGAAAGAAAGGCAATTTCCAATTACTACACTGGGTAAAAGCCAGAGATCAGATTCAATTACATTGCACTTTGCAATTTACAATCTGTTGGTGCTCATTCCAGCAGAGGCTTGTTAAATGCTCTCTCACTGGAGACCTTCAAAATATGCTTACCTGCTGAAAAAGAAGAGGTTCTCAGCCCCCATCCTCACCATAACTTATGCCATCAAAATCCAGGCCAGACCCCAGCCTCCACTTAAGCAAGAGCTGCACATGGCTGAGCTCTCTCTCTCTACAGAAACTTCATGGGTTACAGAGCAATACCGGTGGGAGACCAAATTTGAAACGCAAATTCATCAGAATGCACAATTCTATCATTTAGATTCCGACAGGCACACTGGCCTACTACTTACATGCTTCTAAATCTAATACTTGAATGTCTTCCTTCAGTTTTCCTTTTTTGAGAATCACACTCTTGCAGCTTCACAGTGTAGTTGCTATTGCTGCCACACATCAAATCTCCAACTTGCAAAATCCAAAGGACCATAGACGTAGTGAGATATGCAGGAAGGTGTCCATTCAAGCCTCTTCTCATATCTGCAATGCAAATTATCCCTTAGGTTTGCCACTATAAGGAGCAAGCAGCAGTGCTTGCTTTTGGCTCTCTGTAGCAAATAGTGTAACTATGATATATGGATCGACTGAAGACACCAACACAAGATTCCAACGACGTGATGGCTCAGGAAAAATGTGAGGTGACCTATGACCTGTCACAACTAAGCAAATTCAGTGCGTACCATCAAGAATGCTAACAAAAATATTTGAGAGAATGGAAAACGATTACATTTTTACACTCATCCCAGAACTGAATTCAACCCATTCACGGATCTACTCCTTTCCCCTTCCTGCACATTTACTTGTGCAGACCTTGTCAAACACCAGAAAACATGCAAGAGAGGAACACCAACAGAAATAGCAGAACACATCTCTTAGTATTTAAAGATGAGACTCATTTCCAACAACAAAATCACCAGAAACAACGAATAGATCTTCTAACAAGGCAGATCAAAATGATCTAAACATTATTTGGGGGACTAGATATCAAAAAGAGTAATTTCCATCAAATCTTGGCCATTAATAACGGTAGAGTGTGAAATCAGAACACGCATCAATGGGCCACTGACCTTATATTGTGGTTATTTAAACTACTGTGTAATGGAGCAGCATACCATGAAAAAATGCAGTTCAAAGTGGGCAGCTGCCACTGTAGATATAGATTTCAGCCTCTCATTCATTTTGTGTGTTCAATTCACATCTACTTCTTTCGAAAGTTGTGACTTCTTTGCTCCCCTTTCTGCATTTCATTTTTAATGCTTGCCTTGCTGGGTGCCAGTAAGTTTTCATTTCTGTTTTACTGCGTGGTTTGGTGGAAACTAAAGATACCTATCTGCTATTGTTCCTGCTAATAATGAACTACGTTACTAGTAACACGGGCTAAAGGGTCTTTGTATCATCAGAGCAATTTCAGAGAAAAGCATGGAGTCAAGCTCAGGTTGCATACATTACTCCAAAGTCACAGGAGGAACCAGGTCATGTAGCAGACGGCAATCTAAAACCTAGATTTGAACAGGTGTCAGTTGACCCTCCTGCCATGAAAAATGATCAGACACAGCACCCGAGGAGGATGAGTGGAACGTATCCTGAATGAGCTGTGAGAGCCCCAGTGCTCGCAGATGCTTACCAGCGCTGTGCTCCTCCCTCTGCAGCCGTCGGGAAGCACAGCTGCAGCATGTGGGTTGCATCCAGTGAGAGGTTCTGCCCCTAAGCAGTGGTGCTGAGGAAGTTCTGAAGAGGAGGAGGAGAAGCTGACTTTGGCAGCCTTGAGGAAAATCCCAAGGCAGTCCCGAGGTTAAACAAGGGGAAATCTGGGAGTCAGGCAGACTTGGAAATGCAGCAGCTGCATTATCTATGAAATGGAAGTCACGTGTTGATTCTGAGCTGCGAGTGTCATAGGGAAAAGGAGCCAAAGGGAGCTTTGGAGCTGCACGTTCCGAGCTAAACAAACTAAATGCTAACAGAAGGCACTGACATGAAATTGGCGTTTACAAGGAAGAACTTTCCCTTCCTCCCCCAGCCAGGCAGCCAGCCAGGCTGAGCACCAATGCCCAAAGGTCAGGCACCACTCCTCAGCCTCATTGGTTACCAGGATCTCTTCTGGAAACAAACGCTTTCACACCACCATTGGGCGTGTTACTAAGGGTTGCTGAGAGCTACGTTTCAATTAATGTGAGGTAATAAACACTGTGGTTCTGGGCAGCATTGGAATGACAGCTATCTCGAGTGGCAGCAGGTCATTACCCCATTCCTAGCAGGCAGGCAGCTACTGCTGGCTTTCCCCACCTGAAAGGGGACCAAGGGGCATGCACACATCACTGTGCCTGCACTGTATGAGGCTTTTGGATAAACTGAGTACTGTGGTTCCCACGATTATCAGCTCAGCACCACTACTACAGCCCTATATAAAATGTAATCATAGAATTGTTGGGGTTGGAAGGGACCTCTGGAGATTGAGTTCAGACCCTACTAAAGCGGTTCTCTACAGCAGGTTGCACAGGTCCAGCATGTTTTGAGGATCTCCAGAGAAGGAGACTCCACAGCTTCTACGGGCAGCCTGTTCCAGTCCTCTGTCACCCTTGCAGTAAAAAGTTTTTCCTCGTGTTCAGATAGAGCTTCCCATGTTCCAGTTCGTGCAAAGCACCTCTTGTCTTGTTGCTGCACAGTGCTGAAAAGAGCCTGGCCTCATCCACTTGACTCTCATCCTTTAGATATTTATAGGCATTGATTAGGCCTCTTCTCACATATTTCTCCAGGCTGAACAGCCCCAGGGCTCTCAGCCTTTCCTCATAAGGGAGATGATTCAGGCCCCTCATCAGCTCAGTGGCTCTCAGCTGGACTTTCTCTGTAAGATCCCTGTCTTTCTTGAACTGGGGAGTCCAGAACTGAGCACAGTACTCCAGCTGTGGCCTCAAAATATGTTTCTGAAAAACCCAAGCGCCTGCAGGTGGAGGGGCTGCTAACACCAATTCTGAAAGCTGGCTTTCATCCACATTACTGCAATGCCCCTCTTGCCAGTGTTGGAGGCCTGCCTACACCCTGAAAGCAAGCATTTACTCACTTCTGCTGAAGTGTCATTTATATTACTCAGAAGAGATCATGCATCTGGGGTCACAGAAATAATTATTAATAATTAGGAAACACGCAGCATTTCACATTTCCTGCACAGAAGACCTTTGATTTTTTCTCTACTTGGCTGTACTCGTCTTGGCTACAAACTGCATTCCAATTCTTAATCTTGAGCTGTCAGGAAGTAGCATCTGGGCTAGACAACAAGGAAGAAGCTCAAATCATATTTGAGTCTTTGTGTGTCATGCACATTTGAGAACAAGCTGCTAGGCCCATTGATGGAAGACAGCCCCAGAGCCCATGGGGATTTTCAGTCTCTCTCAAAACCGATCCTTGTGCAAACAAGGACTTCCTTTACCACCTAACAAAAATTCTTAAAGAAAAAAAAACCTGAAAAAATACTTACAGATCTGTTTAAAAGGCCTCATAGTGGTTAAGAGAAAGACAGGGAATTGGGTTGGATTTTTTTTTTTGCCACAGTACTGTGCTTGGCAACTCCATTCTGCTCTGTCATATGCACACATCACTGTGCTTGGCAGAAAAACTGCAAGAGCTTAGCAAGGGAAATGGCAAAATCACACATCCAGTACAGGTGGGCTAAAACGAAGCTCAAGGGAAATAAAAGATGATGTATCCATGAACACTGATTAAGTGTTCATGGAAAACAAAACTTATCTTTGTTGAGCTAAATAGTAGTTGAGACTGAACATTACACAAATTCAATAAGCAGAAATGAAATTGTATTTTTTTAATGAATGAAATTAACTTAAGAGAGGGTTGCCACAAAGACTAAGCAGAAATGTCAATTCGCTTCAGACCAAAAATTGAGCCTTAAAAGATAGGCTTGTCTCTTCACCAGGGCTCATTTCATTCTTTGACAGGCAGAGAAAAGAAAGGAAGAAAACAGAGGAAACCAGTGCAACAGCTTTGGAAAAAAAAAAAAGCATCTAAATTGGAAAACAGCAGCTCAGCATGCTCTGTGGGTTTTCTTCCCCCTTCTAACTTATTGCAGCATTTATTCCTCCACAGTGTATTCAAGTTCCTTGCATGCTCATAGCTTCAGAAAGGAGTCTGAGAGCAGAGTGGGAGTGATAGCTGAGTATATGATTTGGATTACCTGCGGCTTTCTCCAAAGATGCATATTTGTCTCTAGATTGGCTGATTTTGGAGATGTGCCAGGTAACACATAGAAGTCACCCCATTCTTTTCTTCTTAGCAATTGCCTCTCTGCAGTTGGAAACAATTTTTTTTTTTTTTTTCCTCAAGGCTTTGTCATATTGCCAAAATATATTTGAATGCAATATCTCTTGTGCAGCCAATAATCCCTACTCCATGCAGTGTCTCGGACCCAGTGATGACAGAAATCTCTGCACAGGGCACTTCCCCACTTGTGCACAGCTTCCTGGCTTCACTGTGGCTCTGGAAAGATGTGGAGCTCACTGCACACAGAGTCCACATCAGCAAAAACCATCAAGAAAGGTTTGCAGGTTGCCAATAAACAACAAGAGATTTCTATGTACCTTCCTTGCCTAAGCAATGCCAGTGTCAAAAAACTGAAACAAAGAGGGCAAAGTTTGCTTTCCTGCTCTGTATCAGGGCAAGGAAAAGCAGGCTTATGCTTGCTGCTTTTCCTCTAGGTCTACCTGTTCTCGTTAACCTTGAATGGGGCAGATCATAGTGCAGAAGGCAGTGCTGTACTTCAGCTTTCTTGAATCACCTGGTGAAGTTTAACCTCATTATCAACAGCTCTCACTGTCACACTCAGAAAAGGGCCCTTGAAATCCACAGGCTATAAGTTAATCAGTGCTGCAACTCCCACAGAGTGCTTAGTACTGAAACAAGGATGACTGTGTTTCTTTGGAAGTTTGTCACATTTTATTCTGCAGATTTAAAAATTATGCCATCATGCATACCAAATTCATCTACTTCAGCTATTTTGCATGTAGGTCTTGATTTCACTAGTTGTTCAGTATTCTGCATTCATTTTGTGTTCAAAGATGAAAACCCCAGTCAGAGTCAGGTCCTGCTGAAAGCTCTGACTCACATTCCTTTTTGCTCCAGGGCCTTTCTTCCTAACCTTTCTATTCTCTCTAAGAAAGAAAAAAAAATCTTTTCCCCCCATATTTACCGATGCCAGTGAGAGTAATGGCTTTTGTTCATGGTCTTTATATAGCAACGTCTCCATTCTCGTCCAGGTTTTTGAACAAAGAGCATGCTTCATCTCATCACCAGTCACCAAAGTCAGTGGAAATGATTCTATGGATTCCAGTGGGTATTGAAATAAGATCTTAGAAAAACCAACATGTGTAGTTTTACTAAAATCTGTACTTTATATTAGGAGATCTTTTTCAGGAAAGATTTTAATATTCACATTGATTATGTAAGTTACAGAACAAGCCGTAGGCCCACAGCTGCCAAAGTGAAAATAAATGGAAACACTCACTGAAACCTTGGCTGCATTTCACACAAGACCTGCTTCCCTCAGTCTTCTACAACTAGGATGGGAAAGTGTTTGTCAGGCTCCACGACTTAGTGGCCACCACTCGAAATCTTTAAGCACATTCAGCTCACTGGGTAGCCGCCAGTCGGGAGGCCAACGAGAAGCCAGTCTTACCAGTGAGCTCCAGTCCTTGCTCACCTCTGATACATACCCAAGCCTTCTCCAGGTGACAGCTCACAGCTGTTCTTGTTCACTTGTTAATCCATTCTGAGGACAAGTGCAGCATTTCAGCTACAGTACCAGAAGTACATGGCTCACATGATGAAGTTTTGATCAGATGAAGGCCCCTGGAAAAAGGGAGGAAAAAGAAAAACTCCACTACCTAGTTGCTATTTGCAATACAGAAAAGACCTCAGCAGAGGATCAAAATTTCAAGATAGATCACTTTTTGTTTGTTTTTTTTTTTTATTATTATTTTAAGCAATTTCCTCATCGGATCACAAAAGTTTTTGTTCCCTGTGAGCCTACCACAACTTCAGATGCATTACGTAGCAGTGAGCACTGAGCAAGGTGACTACATGGTGAAGCACAGCTACTACTATACTGAGCAGAGCAGAGCTCTCTCGAGCAGGGGATTATTTGGTCTAGCCTCAGGCTCATTCTTATCACTTGTTTTAATCGTGGGATCATAATTCATCTGAGCTTAACTTAAGTTGCTCCAGTTTCCAGAACCAAAGTCCAAGCAGAAGAAAAAACCTCAATAACCTCATTTTCCTTCCTTCATTCCTTTTCCTCCTTCCTCACAAGGGAAACACTATCATATTCGTGGGTACAGGATCATGCAACTCCCATTGTTTCTAAAGCAGAAGTCTCACCACTCCCAGTCTCTAATCCCAGTGTCTCTTCCTAGACACTATCTGCAAGCTCAACCTAAGGATTTGGGGCATTACAAAATGGCCTTGCTTCATTAACATGAGCACTCACTGTCAGATCTGCAGTGCAGGTGTCCTGTATCTCACAGCAAGCCTGCTTCCCTTCATGTAAAGTGAAACTGAGCCCCCTGTTCTCCAGGAGGATCTAGTTCTCCATATGACACAATTCTGAAGGTAGATGCATGCACAGATTGATTTGGCCCATCAGCATCAAGTCCTCTTTTTACCCGAGCTTCTGGGACACAGGTTGCAGCTCAGCAAAGCAGACAGATGTGTTTAACTTGATACAGGACTGTCTCAAGCAGTTGCACTTGTGACATTGCCTATTCACCAACTTAGATGCTTCGCTGCATCAGTTGGTGTGACCTGGCTTTGGTTCTGGAATTCTCAATTGCTGCTTCAAAGGAACACAACGAGCCTCCTTTTGCAGAGATATTGAACTCCACAGAAGGCTTAGCTAATGTCAGGGGAAATCATGAGTCCTCTGGAAATCTCTGGAAACATAGGCACATCATGTACAAAGGAAGATTGTACAAACAATGCAGCCAAATAAGTAAATCTTGGAATAAAACAGTCATTTACTGAGGAAACAGCATACAGAGAGGAAGAATCAACTGGGAAACACTCTTTTGTAAAATTATTTGCCCAATTTCCATGTGAGCTATCAGTGAATCTTGGAAATGACCATAGGGATTTCCAGTCACTGAAGCACTATTGCCAGCTATTTCCATGCCCACAAAGATGACGAAGACCCACTGAACACCTCTCCCTTCTTCCATGTTGGTTTAAGGCAACTTTTCCACTACTTTCAAAGTGGTGA